AAAAAAAAAAAAAGGCTATGAATATACCTTTCTTCAGAGCATCAGGGGAAGGCTCGAGAGTATCAACTGCGAACGGCAGAACGCTGAGGGAATGGCGGGAAGCAGGGTCGCGAATTTCGCTGATGACCTCGGCGACGGAGACGAATCGGTCCGCGGAATGGAATAGCCTCTCGCCGCCCTGGATTATGGCGTTGGCGTCAACCACCGCCACCGCAATTCCTTTGGACGATTTGCAGCTCCCCACCAGTACTCCGCCGCTTTGGGCGGAGGGAAGGGGTTGATGCAGTGGCTGCGGCTGCTGTTCTCGCCGTTCGGGTTGCTTTTTGAGGACACTGCTCCAACACGGCGGGGCAGCTGGGGGGACTTGGACCTCCATGACGGTTGACCAAACAAAAAATGGAGCGAGGCTGCAAAAACCCTACAAAAAGAAATAAGGGTTAGCCGAAACCAAATAGTTAGATTTAACTTAAGAATTAAATATTAAAAATTATTTCTTACTCTTATAATTTAATTTATAGATTAATTACTATGCAAGCCAATTAACCGCATGGTTCTTATTGTTAATTAATTTTCCAACGTGTATATAATTATTTTAACAAGTGTTTTAAATACCGTCCTGGTGGTCATACTGATCTAGCCATCGATACAAAGTATTGCCGGTCAGACCGATAGCATATGTGGTATTACCAGACTTGCAAATATTATATATATATATATATATATATATATATATATATATATATATATGTACAGAAAAATATATAGTATCAAATACAAAAAAAGTAAAAAAATAAATGACATACTCGTTAATTTCAATTTTTCAATGAGATAAAAAATAAAATATTTTAAACAAATTTAAATTTTATGTTTTTAAATTAATAAATTTATATATGTTTTAATATTTTTACTGGCCGGTATTTTGGTTCGATATTTACGATATGATCCCAGTATAAACCGATATAACAATAAATCTGGTATTTTGTGTGTAACTGTCGTACCAATGGCCGACATCCGATATTACCGGCATTACCGGTCGGTACGATACGGTTTTAGAACACTGATTTTAACTAATAAATCATATTATTCTTAAGACCATATAAAATATTAAAAATTATTATAATATAAAATATGAAATTATTTAAGTAGGTGTTCTTTGTCACCCTTACAACTAATTATGTTCATTCTGTTGTTAGGTGGACTAAGATCTTCAATCGAATCCCAAAACGCAAAAAATGCAGTAAAAAGTGTCTAATCGAACTGCAAACTCAAACTCAAAATGAGTTTTTACCCATTTCCTCTCTCCTCAAAACCCAAATTTGGGTTTGACTGTAGCAAAACGCATTTCTTCCTTTTATCTTTCATTTTAGTCATTTATTTTATCAATATATATCTTTTGTATTAATTTTATTTTTTATTTATATTTTATTTTGAATAAATTGGTATCAATGTATATTTAATCTTATATAAAATGTTAATTACTCAAATAATAAAAATATATTTTATTTATTTTTATTTAACATAATTTGCTATATATGAATATGTAATATTATATAAATGTTTATTACCCAAATAGTAATTAAAAAAGTTATGTATAACAACACGAGATGCTTCATAAGTTCAAACAAAAGGATACAAATTACATAATACAATGAAAAAAAGTAACAGTTTTTAAAATGTGAACATATGCGCTAGACCATATATGGTCTAGAGTGTAAATCTGCACTAAATCATATATTTTCAAAAGTAACAGTTTTGATTCAATCGGTACATAGATGTATATATATCTTCTTCACTTTTAAAATGTCAATATATATATGTACATAGATGATTCAATCGGTCTATCATTTAATTTGCACTAATACAATGAAAAAAAAGTATCAGTTTTTAAAATGTGAATATATGCGCTAGACCATATATGGTCTAGAGTGTAAATCTACACTAAATCATATATTTTCAAAAGTAACAGTTTTGATTCAATCGGTACATAGTTTTAATTTTATTTGTGTGGTGAAATTTTAATTTTTAATGAATATTTATTCCTCCGATTTTATTATGTATAATTAATTTTTACTACATAAAGTCCAAATTGAATTTAAAATAATGGTGTGGTTTAATTTGTAAAGTTGTAAAATATGTTGGTAGTATTGAAAAGTTATAAAAGTTCGCATAAAAGAGAATATTTTGGGAATATTCTTTTGGGTTTGAGAATGAGTTTTTCGGTTGGAAATGAATTACTACAAAATGGGATAGTTACTGCAAAATAGTTTGAGTTTGGGTTTTTCGGTTGGAGATTGCCTAAGGGCTAGACAACCATCCATGAACGTATCAAACAAACAGAATGAGTTGGAGTTAACTTGAAATGTATTATTATCAATACAAAAATATTCATTTACCCATTGCAGACACATTAAGTATAAGAAATTCTATGGAGTCATCGGATGGTTTTCTTATGGAGTCATTCATCACTTATTATATTGACACATATTCAAAGTGTATTTATTGTAGGACACGTGTCAATACGTTTTTATGAATAAGTGTGAACTGCTCCATAAGTCTTGACATCCGATGACTCCATAGCAAAACTGTAAATCTTATCAACGTCACATTTTTTTTAAATCACATAATTGTCATACAAAATTGTACTCAACGTGGATAAGAGAGCAATAGTATTTCTTAGTATGTAGCACAATGAGTCGACTTGAAGGACAATACACAAGCACAGTGAGGAGATAATGTAGCTCGATAGAAGCCGAGCTGGTCATATGATTAGATCGTCTAATGAACAAACTAATGAAGATAAGATTATGAAGATAAGATTCACACATTGATGGGGACACATAGCCTAATAGAATTAGGCAGTTCGGGGCAGCCCATTCGGGCATGCATAGGCAACAAGATATCAGGCCTATATGAGGGGTGAGGTATGGCAATTCAATATCTACATACTTTACACATTCTAAATGCTTACAGAGCTTTATATCTATTATTCATCGTCTTCATCAATGTGAATTGAGTTGAACGTCGAAGTGCTAACGTCGGGTACTCTTTTCAACCTATTTTGTAGGTCTATGAACAAATCAAAACGCAAATATGAGTCGTGCAAGCCAGATCGAGGTCGTTGCACACCAAATCTGATATGAATTATTGACAAAAAATTTAATTCAATTTTAACTAAAATCAAGTATGTATATGCGGTTAGATGGTACCTTGTTAAATTGATAAAATAAAATTAAATCCTGAGAAGCTTGTAAACGAGAAAAGAAATAATTCACTTTTTTTCATATATTAATAAAATATTGAAACTTTTTTTTTTCTAAAACCTAGTCTTGAATAATTTGCTTTATGGACTAGACTTTGTTTATCGGTGACCCAGTGTTTGGGTCACCAGGAAAAGACAAAACAAAAATGAAAAGAAAAAATCAACAAAAATGCGTGAGCCAAGTCACAATGTGACCTAGGGTCACAATCGGTTGGTGGGAGCATTTGGACACTTGTCCAAATTTTGTTGGACAAGTGTATATTTCAAATAAAATAAAAAATAATTTATATTTTTAGAAGTTAATTTATATTAAAAATAATAATATAAAAAATATCAAAATTAGTACTTTTTCATTATCTATAGATATGTTTTGGAACACAATTGTAATTTAGTAATGACAACTGATGTGTGATTTTATTCAAATTATTTGTAACTTGTTTAATTAATTTTAATTTTTTGTTCTAATTTTAAATTTTAATTGTGTTCGAAATTTTATTTTAATTATATGGTAAAATATAATTTTTTAAATATATTTTTTTTGGAGATAATTCTTATTTGATAAGCTTTCTTATGTGTCTTTTCAAATAAGCTAGTTGATTTTTTTTATTCCAGTTAGATTATCAGCTAATTTTATTAAACACTTTTATCATATGAGCTAGCTTATCAGCTATAAGTCATAAGCTATAAGCTATAAGCCAAAAAATTACTGATAAGCTATAAGCTAGCTTATCAGCTAGTTTTACCAAACATAGCCATAAGCTATAATCTCCGTGTATTCAAATAAGCCTCGTTTGGTAGGACGAGCCTTTTTAAAAAACTTGAGCTTATTTGATAAGTTTCCTTAGATAATTTTTCAAATAAACTAGTTGAATTTTTTATTTCAGCTAGCTTATCAACTAATTTTACTAAAAATTTTGGCTATGTTTGTAAAACTAGTTGATAGCTGATAAGCTAGCTTATAGCTTATCAATATTTTTTTACCTTACAGCTTATAACTTATGACTTATAGCTGATAAGCTAGCTTGTATGATAAAAGTGTTTGGTAAAATTAGTTGATAAACTAGTTGAAATAAAAAATTCAATTAGCTTATTTGAAAAGTTACCTAAGGAAGCTTATCAAATAAGCTCGAGTTTTTTTTAAAAAAGTTCGTTCTACCAAACGAGTCTTATTTGAATACAAGAAGCTTATAAGCTAATCAAGTAAGCTATAAACTAGCTTATTGGTATACCAAACATAGCCAATTATCATATAAGCTAGCTTATCAGCTATAAGTCATAAGCTATATGCTAAAAAATTACTGATTAGCTATCAGTTATCAACTAGTTTTACCAAACATAGCCACAAGCTAAAAATTAATGATAATATATAAGCTAGCTTATCAGCTATCAGCTAGCTTAACAGCTAGTTTTACCAAGCATAGCCTAAGTTAGTTTATGATGATGACTATCCTCGTTTGTTAATTTCATATTTTGAAGAAACAAATAATAATGATTAAATAACACGGTCCTCTGGGACGGTCGGTTCTACAACAGGAACAGACGACTCACTATTTTTTTTTTTTTTTTTTTTGTGTGTGAACCAGAATCAGAACAAGTAAAACTACGAGTCCGTTCAAGGTTCGGGTAAGACTACGGGCCTGTTCAAGCAGTGTTTTAAATATTGTACCGGCGGTCATACCGGTCTAGCCACCGGTACGCAGTATTATCTGTCGGCCCGATAATATCGATGGTATTACTAGACTAGAAAAATATAATGATATATATAAATATACATAAAATATATAATATCAATACAAAAAAATAAATAAATAAATAAATGACCATAATAATTAGTTTCAACTTCTCAATGAGAAAAATATATAAAACATTTTAATTACCAATTTAAATTTTATGTTTTTAATATAATAATTTTTATTGGCTGGTATTTTTTAGTATTTACGGTATGATCCCGCTACAAATCGGTATACCGTAAATCTGGTATTTTGTGTGAAACTGTACCGTACCAATGGTCGGTATCTGGTATTACTGGCCAGTACAGTACGATTTTTAAATCACCGTGTACAAGGCCCTTGGTCAATGGTTTTGATTGGGTCAATTCCGCGGTTGAGGTCGAACCG